AAGAGCAGGCAGAAGACAGAAATTAGGACTACGAGGAGGAAGAGATTTGTCATACATACCAAGAGTGAATCACCTGATCCAAAGAGAGTGGAAGAGAATTTGTCCTCTATGAAATTGGTCTTTTAGTATTCTGTTGAAGCAGAAAACTAAACTCCAAAAGTGTTTGGGGGTTGAGATCCTACTTTAGCTTTCTTTTCTGGAGCCCAGTTTGTACAACATGCTTAGCCATGATTAGTTGCACCATGGTTTTCTGAAAAAACTTAGTTGCCTGAGATTATACAACACACCATTCCAGATACCACCCAACCACATTAGCCTGATGTGGTTTGCAAATCAAGCCAGTTTCTTAGGCAAGTTACTTATCCTTCAGCCTTATTGGTTGCCCTTCTATGACAGCACTTGCTGCACCTACTACAGCAGTCTCTCCTTTTGGGAAAGAGCATAGCTCCATAGCAATCATGTTTTGACACCACCTACAATCCTTTTCCAAATGCTTGTTCATGCCCATAAACCAAGACTAGCTATGGAAATAATACATTTTCCTAAAATACATTTCCTGGATCAGATCATTTCAGGAAGGTAAAAATATGTATTTATTGGGCTTGCAGAAGAAGACAATACTTGATTTTTAAAAGGGAAGCATGTGCTTTTAATTTTTTGAAAAGGCTAAGCCAACATTTCTGGTTCCAGCTTCAACAGGTAGCCTATCTACTTCTTAGTTAGACCTTTCCTTGATGTTCCACTCTCATCATATTTTTCTACATCATCCTTCCTCTATGGCCACCTTGATCAAGCTACCATTTTTCCATTTTATAAAAGGACTAAACTTGCTAGTCAATGGTGGTGTAGTGGAGAAGGGAAATTGGTTGTCAGGATGGGTTGGTGGATTTTGAAATGCAGCTTGAAAATCCCCTCTCCCTGGAGTTACAGAGGTAGTATTATAGCACAATGGAAAGGTAATTGGTAAATTCCCCTTGCTCTGATTTGCAAATGAAATGATAATAAAACTTTCTGAATACTTTTTAGGAGTCTTCATCTAGTAGTTAGGAAGGCAACAGTTCTTAATGAGTTTGCACTTCTAATACAGGTTGTCTTACAGCATGTTGAATGAAGGGCCCTCAGTATAGAAGTGTGTTTTGCAGACAATCCTGTTCTGCTGAGCATTAAGCCCTGCAGCCTCATATCCTGATAGCCACCATAAAAAGAAAATAAAGAAATGAGAACCCTGACAAGCTCCCAGCAAGTCTGCTGTCTCAACAGATATCAACCTTTACAAAAACAGAGTGATGTAATCCCACTTTAGACTCCACTTCCTTTCCTTTAAGAAACCAGTTCTGTTTTGGTTTGTGTGTGTGTGTGTCAGAGTTTTTAAGGGCCTTAATTGGTTGGTTTCTGTGAGATGTAAGAGGTGAAGGAATTATTGGAGACTACAGTAATCCAAAGAGGTCACTATCTTATCTTCTGCCCATGAGGCATAGGAGAAATTATGGTTGTTGTTTAAAGACGGAAGCCTTAATTTTGATCTTATTGAAGTCTTTCTTGGAGCATTGTGTGACTCCAGATGGAATTTACCTTCAGGTAACTTTGCACAAATTTGCAAGCACACTGTTTTTAGAAATTGGCTATTATGCTATAGCTTCTTTAGGAAATAGGGGATGAATAGCACTATTGTTATTAGTTCCCGCATTAGTTCTGCCACGAGTCCTTGGGAAATATGACAATATAAAATTATGGCAAATGTGTAATTTTCAAAGTTTATGATCCCGTTGCTAAGCAAACATAGGCCTATTATTACTATCAGTTCAAGAGTCTTGGGCATAATGTCTTTCAAAGGATCACAGAGATAGATCTCTTGGTGCTCTGCCTTGGTTTATCTTCCATAATGCTGGCTTGGCTCGGCTCTGCCCCCCACTCCAACTACCACCACCACCAATTGGTGCTTTTCTCTCTATCTCCCTCTCTCAACACCAGTGTTCTTCCCTCTCCAGTGCTTTGATCACCAATTTGGGGTCCTGCAGTGAGTGACTGAAGCCACAGGTCAAGTTTCCCACACTTCTGTTGTAACAAAGCTCCTGGTATGGGAGAGGACCATTGTGTCAATGATCCTTTCAGACCTGGGGAAGAAGAAAGGTCTTATACTACCCTTAAATATAAGTGCATACCCAATAAAAATACTAAAATCTAATGTCAGTGCAGAGATACAGATCAAACAAACAAGGACTGGAAGGAGCATCTATAGACTGCAGTCTCTTCAAGGACTGCATTCAAGCTTGAATCAAAGTTCCTGTGCAAGCAATCATATTTAAGTAAAATGACCTGAAGGACAGTTACACTGTAGGCTTTTCTAATTATTCCTTACATATATGCTGATGTCTCTTTTGAGAAATATAGAGGCAGGGCCTAAGTAATTATGTTGACTGAAAAATAATTTGAGGATGGATGTTTTTTTCTGCCCAACTGGCAAGTTCTTCCTATATTTCACCAAGCACCTCCTGGAAGTAAAAAGGAGAAGTCTCAGATTAGAAACAACAGGTTTCAGTCACGAAATTACATTATACTCTCCTCCTTCCTTTTCACCTTGCATTTTTCTTTTCTGGGGAGTGGGAGCAGGGGGACAGCAACAATTTTAGAATGATTTCTCTGTGAGACCTGCTTCCTTCTAAATCTGGATGTGAATTTGGAAACCATCTGGTTTCCTTCAGCGACTTCAGAGAAGCTGTGCCATACCTCACAGGAAGTCTGATTTTTTCTGAAGCAACTCCTTTGGGTCCTGTATTTGAGCTTTGCTTTACTCCTGTGTTGTTTTCAGAAGTCATTCTAGTGACAGAAGTACATTTAGCCAAGTACAAATTGCAGCACTGGAAGATAGGAAATGACTTGAACAGCAGAAATAGGAACTCCACCACCTGAGATTTGTGCTCAGCATATTTTACATCCCAGTTATCACACCAACCAGCTGGCGTAGTCTACAGTTGTTCTGCCCTTTTTTCTTTTTTAAAAATGTGATCTTTAAAAACCATCCCAGTAATTCAGCCATTGGATGTCATTGCAGAACATATTCAGCAGATATGACCAGAGGTCCATAGTGATCACATAGAGTGGCTAGGTGTTATTTTGTTATCTGGAGCATAATACTTATAAAGTGATATCAATTGGCAATGAACTAGAAGTTCATTGAGTGATCAATGAGTGATGCAGTTCAATTTGTTTTTGAATTCTTATAGAATACTTGAGGATATGCAGATCAGTACACGTGTGGTCAATTCTATTGCTTGTATTAAAAGGCCAGTACCTCGCTCCTTTTTTTAAAAATTATTTTGTTTAAATTCTGCATGTTAGGTTTGTAATTTTTACTAGCATATGGAAGTTTTGTGTACAACTTCCTCTACTGTGCAATTAAGTAAATTTCTCAAGAATTCCATTCGTGATGTTGTTCTTGTTATATATATTTTTCTCATGCAAGCAATTTCATTTAAATTTTCCCAAGGTACAGTACACTTTTTAAAAAAAATAATTACCTCTTCCTAGAGACAACTTTGAGAAGTTTTTTTTTTTTGGAGACACAACTCTCGCACATAAATGGGTGAAAGCATGTGAAGATTATTAACCGGAGGAAAACAAACACCAGTTGATTATTTTCGTGTTCTTGTGGAGTTTAGGCAAATCTCAAACTCTGCTCCCATATGGAGCAGAAATCTGTGGAGATTTCTTTTACATCCCTAACCCAAAGCTATTGTTGATTGGGTCATTAGTTCTGTATAAAAGAGATATAACATTCTGCCAAGATCTTTCCAAAGTATCCCCTAATTATTTTGACCATCAAAACTAAAGAGTTGACATTCACTTATGGGATATGCTTATATTGCTAAAATCAAATATGTTTGTTACTATGTTCTTTGTTCCTGAACATTTTGCCCGTTTTCCATCATTCACCCTTAATCGTATGTATAAGCCAAACTATATTCTAGTTAAGAATGAAGAATAAGCTGCTAATACTCCAACTGCTTTGGTTCTGTAAATACTGATGGGTCAGATGTTGCAAATTTATGTGAAGAATATTTGTGGGGAAGTATGGTAATATGTTGTGCATATCATGAAGAACTACTTGGGAAATAAGTAAAAGAATCCAGACAAAATTGTCCATTGGGTACCGAGAGCTGTAAGTGACATAGACCAAGTGTTTCTAAAGGCTATTTGCAAATAGTGTTTGGAGCCTTTATAAAACCAGAGAGGATTCATACTATGCAGAAATTGATCATCTCTTTTTCCTGAGTGGTACCAAATTCGGGCATTCTATTAATGGATTTGATAATACAGTAGCAAAACTTAATACTAATACTGACATGAAATGCATTAATTCCACTCTGCTCTGGATTGATGAGATCCACTACAAATATTGTGTCCAAGTTTAATCATCACACTTTAAAAAGAATTCAGTTGCAATGAAAACGGTTTTTAAAAATGGCATGGTCAATTCCCGATGACTACCTGGACACATCAGTACCACTGTCTTGAGGACAGTAGGTTAGTGACTGCCTTCTTCCAAGGTGCTTTTTGACTTTCCTGACAGCCTGGAATTCTAACCAGATCAGACTCTGCAGGTGACCCAAACTGAGATGAGGAGAGTGGTTTACTCCAGTCTGGTTATGCCTTTTCCTAAAAGCTCGGCTGGCACCTTCTTATAATTTTCTAGGTTGCTTTCATCGTGTTGCAAAGTTTTCTAAGGCGCCACTCTAATATCTCCTATTATTTCGAGGTACTTAGTGGTCTTGTGATGATCTGTTAATACTTCTCCTAACATGCATATGAGAACTCTGCCCACGCTTTCAGGCGCTCTTCGTTCTTGCGGCGAGCGACCAGGCTCTGGGCCGCCAGGCGATTGCGGCTTGAGTCGCAGGGTACCTCCGCGCGGCCGAGAACGACGACTTCCAGCCAAGGCGAGCGGGCGGGAAGAAAGGGAAC